GGCTGATCTCCAAAATTTACAAAGAACTCAAGAAGCAAGTCTTCAGAACACCAAAGGATCAATTAAAAAATGGGGTACAGAACTAAATAGAGAATTCTTAATAGAGGAGACCAAAATGGCCAAGAGACACTTGAGAAAGTGCTCAACTTCTTTAGCCATTAGGGAAATGCAAATCAAAACATCTCACTCCTGTCAGAATTGCTAAAATCAAAAACACTAATGACAGTTTATGCTGGAGAGGATGATGTGGAGAAATGGATACGCTCCTCCACTGCTGGTGGGAGTGCCAACTTGTGCAGCCACTTTGGAGATCAGTATGGAGATTCCTTAGAAAAATGGCAATCAGTCTACTGCAAGATCCAGCAATTCCACTCTTAGGCATATACCCAAAAGATGTAACCTCATACAATAAGAACATCTGCTCAACTATGTTCATAGCAGCATTATTTGTAATAGCCAGAACCTGGAAAGAACTTAGATGCCCCTCAACAGAAGAGTGGATAGAGAAAATGTGGTACATTTACGCAATGGAGTATTACTCAGCAGAAAAAAAATGGAATCATGAAATTTGCAGGCAAATGGATGGCACTAGAAGAAACCATCCCAAGTGAGGTAACCCAGTCACAAAAAGACAAACATGGTATGTACTCACTCATATATGGATTTTAGATGTGGAGGAGGGCATTGCCAGCCTACAATCCCACCGCCAAAGAGTCTGGGGTGCAGGGAGGACCCTAAGAGAGATATGCATGATAACCGGGAGAAGGGTTATGGGATGCAATCTCCTAATTAGATTGGGGAGGGAGAGGGAGGGAGGGTAGAAGGAGATGGGAGAAAGAGAGGGAGAGAAGAGGATGACACGGCAGAGCAGGAAGCTTGAGCCAGGGTAAGAATAGAGGAGAAACGGATGGGAGATACCATAAAAGAGGGAGCCAGTATAAGTTGGAGGAGAGATCTGGCACTAGTGAGATCTTCACAGATCTACAGGAATGACACAAACTGGCATTAAGGCTACCTTAAATGCCCTCCCATGATGGTGAGAATGATGAGAGCTCTCATCCAGTGGCTGATGGAGATGAAGGCAGACATCCACAGCTGTGAACCGAATTGAACTCCTGGAACCCACTTGCAAAGAGGAGTGATGACCAAGGGAATTGGGATCTGGCTGGCGAGGCCCACAGGGGCAGCTGACCTAAACAAGGGGCATCACATGGACTCCAGACTGATGACTAAGGAGCCAGCATGGGACTGATCCAGACACCCTCCCACCGAACCTGGGTGACAGAGAGGAGGCTTTGGCAATCTGTGGGACCTTGGAGAGTGGAGCAGTATTTATTCCTGGAATACAGAAGGACTCTGGGAGCCCATGCTACGTGGAGGGATTCCCTCTCAGCTTGGATACATGGGCCATTCCCGGGATGATGTGATGGACTCTGTAAATCCCTCATGGAGGCCCTTGCACTCCCTGGGGAATGGAGGGGGGATGGAGTGGGAGTGAGGGGTTAGGAGGATTGGGGGTTGGGGGAGGAGGGAAGGGAGAGGGAACTGAAAGTGACATGCATAAAAAATTAAATAAAAAATATGGAAAAAAGTTTTAATTGAGTAATTGTCTTTATTCGGTTGGGCTGTGGGCATGTCTGTGAATGATTTTCGTAATTGACACAGAGGGTACAGCCCACTGTGTGTGGTGCTGGTATTTTCTGGACAGGTGGTCCTGAGCTATGTAAAAAAGCTAGCTAAACCTGGGCCTGTGAGTGAGCCACAGAATAAGCCAGCAAGCAGAGTTCCCATGGTTTCTCCTTCAAGTTCCTGCCCTGGTTTCCTCAATGATGGACTGTGATCTGGAAGTATAAACTAAGTAAACCCTTTCTTCCTCTAAGCTGCTTTTGGTCAGTGTGTTTTATCACAGCAGCAGAAGTAACCAGAGCACCAGGTACTTTGTCATAGCAACAAGATACACAACTAATCAAGACATCTTGTCAGTTGATAGGTGTGTTAGAGTATGCTTTAAAAACTGAGAAATAATACCATAGAATTGTTTTGCATGTCCTAATGACTTTCTGTACTGTGGTGCATTGCTGGTTTGGGGCAACTTAACCTTTGAATAAAACCCTATGTTTAGCAATGTTCTTCATTGGCAACGATTCTCTCTCTCCAGAAGATTTCCCTCTGCCTAGTTTGAAGCACTTACTGCTTTTGAACTTGGCCAATCATGTTTGATTTTCCTTGGTGTTTTTGTAGCATATTGTATGGTAAGAGCAGCATAGATACCTTGTGCTGACTGTGTAAGAATAAAGCCAAACTTGGCCAAAGGGTGTGTTTTTTTGTAGAGTATAACTGACTCTGGAGAAATCTGGTAAGGTTTCCATCTTCTTTGAGTTTCATCAATCCATAGCTTGCAAAGTAGAATTTTGATTATGCACATTTTACTCAGGGGTACAGCACTCTCTTCACATAAGGCACAGGTCAAATATAGCTCATTCTGGAACCAGCTTAAGATTTTGTCAGTTGATTGCAAGTTCTTTTAGCCAATAATTTTGTTTTCTTTCCTTTCAGCAAAAGTAATTAGGAATGACATAGTGTTTTTTACCCCATAATTCATAAATGAGCAGGGCTGGGTTTAAGTTGCCGGGGAAGTGGTTTTAATGACTCAATATAATATTGGAGTCCTGGTGGCAGAAGATAATCTTTAGAGGGTGGTAATTTAGGGATTGATGCATTTCTTAGACACAGTTATAAACATGGTTTAGTTTTCTCTTGAGACAATTGTTCTTTCTTTCATGATTTATACTAGAGTATAAAGTAGACAAAGAGTAACTAGATGGTAATATTAAATACTTGAAGATGAGATGCAAGATTGGGCTATAGAGCCAAGACCTGATTTCTGAGTAGTTGCTTATTTGGAGTGGAAGATGGGAGAGATGTGTTTTGACTGTCTGATCTTGGAGGACGTTAGAACTGATTCACAGTGAGAGACTGAGGTAACACACATCTCTGTCCGTGTTCCACCTTCCCTCCTCCCCCAGCTACGATTACACAAGCATTAAATTGTAGAACCACTTGGGAGTCTTTATGATTTTCCCCTTGAGAGTTCTATGGCTTCCTAGCAAAACAAAGGAAAAAGACAAAACAGTTTCTCTTTCTTTCCTGTGTTCCTTCCTTCTCTTCACTCTCCTCAAAGGTATGTGTGCTTCTGTTTACCAATTACTGCTTTGGCTTGGTTAGGGGACCACCATGGAGAGGCAGGGAACAATAGCCCTGGCAGGTCCTTTAAACAGGGCTTCCCTAACAATGCAGGTTAAACCAGAGGCGGGGAGAGGGCACATGCCAGGCACAGAGTGCAGACTCTGTGTTAAGAGTGGAAGACAAGCAGAGCTCCTTTATTGCAGTGAGGGACCAAACCAAGTGAAAACTAGGAAATGAAACCCTAGAGGACTCTCAACATCTGGGAGGAAGACCCTGCATGCTTGAGCACTGAGATGAGTGTTTCTGTGGGCTAGTAAATGGGGTGATGCTGAAAATGGTCCTGCCCTCTATCTCTAAGTCTTCCTTGCCCATCCGTGGGGCATGCCAAACAGTTTTTTTGTCTTTCGTAATCCATAGCACTGCGTTGACTTTCTATGCGGAGTGCAGAATCCAAGAGGTCCACTTCATAAATAAGGCCCTTGCAGCTGGTGACCTGTCACTGACCCCGACCAGCCCTTTGGTGGTGGTGGGTGGTTTTGAACAGATGTAAGACTGCAAACACACTACATATATGGAAATAGTCTACTCTTGCTAGATTGCTAGAGTTCCCACTAGGCATACTTTCAAATAATTTAAAATAACTAGCTGTGGTTTTATATTGAGCCATAGAACTCTCTCTCTCTCTCCGTGTGTGTGTGTGTGTGTGTGTGTGTGTTGTGTGTGTGCGTGTGTGTGTTGTGTGTGTGTGTTGTGTGTTGTGTGTGTGTGTTGTGTGTGTGTGTTGTGTGTGTGTGTGTTGTGTGTTGTGTGTGTGTGTGTTGTGTGTGTTGTGTGTGTGGTGTAGAAAATAGCTAGAAAAATATCTCTAGTTGTCTGTGAGATACAGGTATAGAACTAGAGTTATTTATTTAATAAAAAGCTCAAAGATTACTTTTAGTGCTTTTTTGTTTTGTCTTGTTTTGTTTTTCTTTTTAGAGTGTTTTACATTGTGACCCAGGCCTGCCAGAACCAGCTGTACTACATAGTTCAGGCTGGCTTTAAACTCAAGACAGTCTTCCAACTCCAGCCTCTTAAATCCCGAGATTATGGACATAAGACACCAAACACGGCTCAATACTTCTAATTCTTATGAACACATTACAATGGATGGTTTTTGCTGTTTTTTTTTTAATGGATTAATAAGCGGTTTGTGGCTTTGAAAACAGCTCACTCGGTTGGGAGGCATCGGCAGGGGAGTCAGTTAATTGACCACTGGCACCGCCCTTTCCAAAAACGCCCTTCGTGGAATCAGACACCCATCAGTTACTGCGGTGGCATGGGATTTTCAGCAAGTACAGAAACCGAGGCTAATGGCAGAATGAGACGAAGACGAAGACGTAGTTCCACTCTTTTGTGTGAATGTGTGTACGGTTCTTACCTCTAAAGAGCTTGCAGGGAAATCTTACAGATAGTGTCTCTGAGCACATGGCTTTATCTGACAATGAGTGAAAACGGAGGCCAAGTCTGGGGCTAGCGTTTAAGCCAAGCATGTTTCCCACTTTGATGACTTGCATGTGTCTTTGCCACAGAGCTGAACGATGCTCACTCTTTCCTACACAACACAGAAGTAGCTTTCCTAAGATCAACTACACATGCCAGGTGGTTTGAGTGTAAAAGATCTCCCACAGGCTCAGGTGTTTGAACACTTACACCCAGCTGACCGCGCTGTCTGAAGAGTTGGCAGTCTGTAGCTGGGGGGAAGGGGGGGAGACTCATTGAAGGAAGTGAGTCAGTGGGGGCGGGCCTTGAGGCTTTATGTCCTAGTCCCACTTCCTGTTTTCTTTATCGGCTTCCTGACCAGAGATACACATGCGCAACTGTCTCCCATACCTACAGACTTGCCTCCCTGACACAGTGGACCATATCCCTCTGAAGTGTAAGCAGAAATCAGCCCTTTCTCCTTTAAGTTGCTTTTCTGAGGGTGTTTCATCCCAGGAACAACCGAAGTAAGACACCAAGGGACCTTCAAGATAAGAGTGATTCAAGTGTGGGCTATTTTGTCTACAGCTTTCCTGGTGGCCTGTGCTTCAGAGGGAGTATGACGACAAAGACCCCTGGTGATAGAGTGCCCTAAGCTTCCACAGAGGGTGTCAGGGCTTAAAAGCAAACACTGCTTATCCACCACGGATAAATCAGGCTTGGCCTCTGTGCTTAAGATGGAATCCTCTTCCCCATGTCCCCTCTGTCCGGAAGGACGTGAACTCTTGAAGACCTCATTGTGTCCTCCTGGTTCCTTTTCAGGCTCCTCTAAGGAGTCTTTGTGTGGCTGGCTTCTATTGGTCCCCTCCCTCAGCCGTATCCTCCACCCATATGGTATTAGATGCCTAAGGAAACCTTGATACAGTGTAACATCCTGACTGGGGTAGAGACCCAACCCAATATGAGTTCCAAGTTTACAGAACCTGCTAGGAACTTTGTGATATGATTTCTCTATCAGAGTCTCAGTTTCCTTACTTGAAAAACAAAAAATACTTATTCATAAAGTAGTGAAAATTTAATGGAGGACTTCATGTGTAATGTTGATGCAGGGGCTTAGCGTATATCAGGTTCCATAAACACATGACTCATAGGGTGGTATGTGTTTTTAAACTGGTATCAATATCAGTAAGTTGTCTTGACTGGTCTAGAACTCACTGTGTTTACTGGTCTAGCCTTGAACTCACGGAACTAAAAGGCCTGTGCCACCACACCTGGACAGTCAGGATTTTATTGAGCACTGGCTGTGTGCCAATTTTGGGGCTGCCTGAGGGTAAAGTGAAATGTAAGACTTCTCCATAGGTAAAGACCTGACCAAAATAGGAATGTGAATTTAAAAACTGGGCATGGTATCACATGCCTCTAAGCATAGTGCTAGGGAGGGAGAGGCAAGCAGGCAGATAGATCTCTGTGAGTTCTAGTAACCCAGGGCTATCTAGTAGGACCCTGTCTTGAAAACAAAAACAAAACTGAACTGACTGAGAAAACAGTGAAGGCAAGTAGCCTTAGCTCAAGTGCTGGGTGCTGAGTCTACTGTTGTTAGAGACAGCTGTGAGGGCCTGCAATCGTATGCCAGAGACACAGGGTGGAAGCAGAGAGGACTCACTAAGATGTTTTCATGGAAACAAATTTTTAAAAATTCTAACTTAGGGACATAAACATAGTCTGAATGTGTTCTATGAACAGGAGTGGAAAAAAAGTATGGGTAACAGTTCTAAGTCGAGATGACCAGACTGGATAGGGAAACACATATCTTATTTTCCTCTCCTGATATTTTCCATACTGTCCTAAAATGGAATTATAACAGAGAGTTTATAATTATGCAGATTGTGAAGATTCTCTATATAACTCTGGGTGATCTTGGACTCAAAAAGGAAGCTGTCATTTTAAAATAGCTTCACATGGTTTTTGTCTGCATACATGTTGGAAAATAATCGGCCATCCTGTTTGTTTGAAGAAATATGGCATTGCATGTGAGAGTGTCAAAAAAAATAATTGCTTTGGACAAAGGGCGATCTTCCCACCTTAAGTTTTCTCTTCAGTAAAAAATAATCTTATTTTAGTAGTAAAATGAATGGGCTTCACTGTTGGATTCCTTTAGATATTTATGTAATGTGTCAGTCTATTAATCTTCTACCTTTCCTTTTTCTTCTCCAGTCTCTCCTCTGACTCCCTTCCCTTTTCCTACTATTCTCTCCTCTACGTTCATGCCATGTCTTCTTTTTTTTCTTTCCCTTGCCTTTTCCTCCTTCTCTTTACTTACCTATTGATATTTGTCTTTCTGTGGTCTCCAATTTCACCCATTTTTTTCCTCTGTAAATGACATATTTTCATTCTTCTTGTGGCTGGATAATACTCTGTTGTGTATGCATACCACATACCCCGTCATTTGTTGACAAACATGGAGGCAATTTTTAAATATATGAGGAAGACTATCCAAAGCTATAAAAAAAACCAGTCTGAGCTCAGCTCCCTTGAAGCAGAAGGTGAAATGGTTCTTAACGGGTGGATAACTACCAGGAGAGTACTGGGAAGCTCAGTTAAGGACGGTGGATGATGTTAAGTTTGCAGATGTCTTTTTCAGTGACAAGGCCACCTGCGTTTGGTTCTTGTCCTTGTTCCAAGTTAGTTTAGTCTCCTGTCCTCTTGTGTAGGGTGGAAGAGAAGATGCTATCTTCCCTGATTATGACATTTCAAATGGGTGGTGTCTAGGTCTCTGAGGGGGACAGCTCTGTTCCTTGCTAAAGGGCAAGGACAAGTTTCTAACTGCTTGGGTTTTTGCTTTTTTTTTTAAGTAAATGCTCCATGGAAGGAGATTCCAGAAAGAAACCTTTCTAAAAGTTAGTCAAGTTGACATCTTGGTGAAGTGTAATGTATTGCTACCATGTCTACTTGCAATGCTGCTTGCATTGTGGTTGAGTTTAAGATGGATTACCCAGTGTAGACTGGAAGGGAAGAATATGCATTGGAAAGGAAAATCAGCATCGTTTCCTTACCTAAGGTTGGGAAATGGGAAGTGGAACACAGAGGAGCGAAGAGCCAGAGGCTGTTGACCAGATGTCAGAAGGCCCAGTGGTAGGTCCCTGTGGGTCAGCAAAGAGATACTAATACCAAATGACCCAAAGCAACCTAACAGAGTTAACTCGGGGTTCCTTTGGATGAAATAACGTGATCAGCACTGGTATCTGGTGGGAGATGAGAAAATCAGCTGAGACTGTGGAAGTCTCTTCTGAGTGGAGCCTTTTCTACACCATGAACATATAAGCATTGTTTGTGATCAATCTCCCACATATATGCAAAGATATGATGCACACATCTCAACATCCTAATGCATTGCTGAAGTATTTTTAAATAAATCACAGACATTTCAGAAACCGAGTATTATAAGAAACTGGTGACTAGCACTTAGCTCAAGTTGCATTTAGAAATATATCAGAAAGCGTGAGTTGGGAGGTGGTCAGGATTTTTCTGTTGTATGATAAAATAATCTGACAAAAGTAATTTAGGGGAGAAAAGCTTTATTCTAGCTTGCAGGTTCAGGCTACCTACAGTCTGTCCATCAGTATAGGGAGGTTAGAGTGACAGGGGCTTGAGAACTCACGATCATGTTACACACATAGTCAAGGATTAGACAGGAATGACGGTGTGCATCTTTGAATTCATCTTGCTTTCTCTCCTATCCCACAGTGCACCATTTGTTGCCTAGGGAATAGTGCCACCCATAATGGATGCCTTCTCCTCTCAATTCGAAAACTCAAGATAATCCCCACAGACATGCCTATAAGCCAATTGAATCTAGCAGAAGCTGTGAGAATGGATATAAGCTTTACAATTACTAGGGGCATGTGACATTTGCATATCTTACCTCCCCGCACCCCCCCAAGAGAATAAGCATGAAGGGAAAAGAAAGAATAATTCGTTCTTCTTAAATGAGAGGGTTGGACTGCAGCGTTGTTTGTTCCATGATAGTAAGGATGGTTAAAAAGTACATGCGTGATTTGTCAGCAGAGCACCTGGAAGAGAAAAATGTCATTAGAGTGGTTGTGGGGGAGTAAAATGCAGGAGGTTAAGGAGGACTGGGGAGAAGGAGCTGGACTTCCTCATGTAGTCTGGCTTTGAATGTTAAGACAACCCTGGAAGGAGATCAAAAGAAAATCTTAAGGTGCAACACTGACATATATGATATTGATGTGTTTCATTTCTTTCCAATTGCCTTTTTAGAGATAAAAAATGAGTGAACCCTCCGATAAGAACAACTCCATTCAAGAAGAAGCCACAAATCAAATGTCTCCAGAGAAAAGCAGTCCAATTGGACAAAAGCAACTGGTATAGCATGCAGATTTCATGTTGTTTGTTGAGCTTCTAGCAGGGGGCATCTGAGATGCTAGAAACTCAACCTATATATTTTAAAAATGTTTTGACTTCAAAATCGAAGTCAAATGGTGTGTTACTTTGGGGGAGAGGTTATGCTTTTATTTCCACAGGAAGTGAGAGGCTGTGGGTTCATTCCAGGCTAAAGATGATCAGGTTTGATTGAGAAAGACCTCCTTAAAATCTTGACTACAGACATAAATAAATAAATATAAAAAAATCTACAAAACATGTAATGAATACTTTACCTGCTCAAACATAAAACAAAAAATCATCTTTAACTGACTTGTACATACCACATATTCAAGACTTGTAATTTGTGTTACCTTTAAAAGTTTATATGTTTTCAGGTGATCAAGCAGTTTTCATAATCCAATGTGTTTTAACAACTGCTATTTATTTATTAGCAAGCAGAAAATCTAAAGACAACACAATAACATACAGGATCCAGATTCTCTGTGTATTTTCCATCTTTGCATGGCTTATTGTTCATTTTTTACTTTACTTTAATACTTTCCTTTTTAAGGACTTTACTTCATTATGTTTAAACTATTTTTTAATTTATGACTGTCTCTATCCTGTCTAATTTCTCTCCCAAGCCTATATACATTTTTAAACACACTGTAACCCATTTAGAAGTTCTTTGTCAGTCTAGAACTGTCCCTATAGTGTATCTGTAAGCTTTTTCTGAACACATGAGCCATTAAACTGCTAAGCAGTGTGGCTAGGATCTCCACCTCTCTTTTGGCAGCTGGCTCCTTCCCTCTAGGTTCTCTGAGAACCTAACTTCATACCTGAGGTACCAGTGAGAGCCACATTTACCGCCCCAACTTTGGAAAGTTTTGGGGGTCCACGCTGCTCATGAGCCTTATGCAAGTGTTTGGTAGCAGGGCCTCTTCAGAGAACTGTGCCTGTCTTTGCCACAACACTGAGCCTGGAAGCAATCTCTTAAAAACCTGTGTGTCTGCTTGCTGCCAGCAAACATAGTTTACCCAAGAAAAGGTGGTTACCAAGAAGCTGTGTTTGACTCTTTGTGTGTGTGTGTGTGTGTGTTTAGAATCCTTTTTTAAGCTTTGTCAGGTCTTATGTGGACATTCTGGCCCCATGTTGGAATGCCATCTATAGGCAGAGTTTCTCTGTGTCCCAGCAGCCATTCCCAAATAACCACAGAGAGGCTTAATATTAATTATAAATGTTCAGCCAGTAGCTCAGGCTTGTTACTAACTACCACTTACAACTTAGATGAACTCATTTATATTAATCTACATTCTGCCATGTGGCGTTACCTCTCTTTCATCTTGTACATCCTATTTCCTCTCCGTGTCTGCTGGTGACTCCTCTCACTCCACCCCTCTTCTTCCCAGTGTCCTTAGTCTGGTTCTCCTGCCTAACCATATCCTATGCAGCTATTGGCCAGTCAGCTTCCTTATTAAACCAATTACAGCATAATTTACACAGTGTACAGAAGGATTATTCCACTTTTGACTCTTTTCCTTTTCCTTTTGTTGTTTTGTGTTTTTTGTTTTGTTTTGTTTTGTTTTTTGAGACAAGGTCTCTGTGTGGCTTTAGAGCATCTATTGGCACTCACTCTGTAGACCAAGCCGGCCTTGAACTCACAGAGATCCATCTGCATCTGCCTCCAAAGTGCTGGGATTAAAAGCATGTGCCACCACCGCCTGGCTCTACATTTCCATTATGTGCACTTTATACCCTGTATTTAGAAAGAGTGGCTTAACTTGAGGACGCATTGCCTTTTGAAACTTGGTTGCATTAAACTGTTGATTTCTCCTTATGAAGCAAACACATTTCCATGTTGTTTTGCTAAAGAGCTCTAGACAGTCCATTTTGAAAGAATGAAAAAAATGTATGAAACTCCTAAAATATTTTGTTCATTTCACAGCAACAGATAGAACGGCAGCTAAAATGCTTGGCATTTCAAAACCCTGGACCACAGGTGGCAGATTTTAACCCAGAGACAAGGCAGCAGAAAAAGAAAGCACGGATGTCGAAAATGAATGAATATTTTTCTGGGAAGCAAAAGTAAGATCATGATATATTTGAATTATGGTGTTATAAATTGCATGTGTTCTTGATTTTAAAGCAAAGAAATTGAAAGCTGTATCTTGTTATGATTTCAAAAATTTCTTCTATAGTACACTTAAGACCCCTTATGTCTGGATGTTAGCCTCTTTAAGAAATAGGCAAGGCGGCATGTGCCTGGAATGCCAGCACTTGGATGCAGAGGCAGAAAGATTCCAAGTTCAAAGTCAGCTTGGGTTACTTAGGGAAACTGTGTGTGTGTGTGTGTGTGTGTGTGTGTGTGTATGTGTGTGTGTGTGTGTGTGTTAAATCTAAATCTCAAATTAAAGATCACCTTTTTTTTAAAGGGCCTTGTCCTCAAATAATACCTTTAGTAGAAAAGCTAACTAAATATAACAAAGAAGTATCATTAAAAGGAAAAACATTATAACCATAGGGAATATTAAGTGGGTACGATGCTATCACTAATACAAGACTATTAGTATATTGGAATATACAATACCTGAAGTTGTAACTCAGTGATAGAGCATTTGCCTAGCATGCAGAAGTTCCTAGCTTCTAACTACAGCATGACAAGGGGAAAAAACACATTCCCCAGTAGGGAGCTAGATGGATGTCTCAGCAGCGAGGAGCACTTCCTGTTCTTCTGAACTCCTGAGCTGGTACCCAGTCCCAGCTGCATGCAAATCCAGCTCTAGAGAATCTGACCCCATTTTCTGGTTTTTCAGAGAGGGGATCTCCACACACGTGTTATTACACTCACACATACACATAAATTTCCAAATGATTTATATGAAACAGGAGTGAAAACTGAGCTTACATATTTGAAATTTTGATGTGTAGGAAAATGGCATTTATTATCGTTTTGTTTTTTTCTTTCATTGAAAGTAGATTCTTTTCTCATATAATGTATCCTGACTTTAGTTTTCTCTGATATTTATGTATAAAATATGTTTTTGTGTTGATATTATAAAATTGCTTTTAAAATCAAATCCCAGTTAATTCTCATTAAGAAAAAGTGACTTTGCAATAAAATAATTGTATAATTTCTCTCTCACATGCAAATGATTTACATGTATTGTTTTTAATTGACTGTGTGAGTGCAGGCGCCCGCAGAGCCCAGAGGCATCAGGTCCCCCTGGTACTATATAGTCACAGGGAGTTGTGAACATCCTGCGAGGATGCTAGGAATTGAACTCCAGTGCTGTGGAAGAAGGCTATGTGCTCTAAATTAACCACTGAGCCATCTCTCCAGACCCATATGTGATTTTTAAAAAAGTCACATGTACAAATCAAGCAAACCATAAAAAAGGTTGATAAATTCAAATATACTTTTAAAAATCTTAATTAGAAGGCATTCCTGCTAATGTGTCATCATGAGGCAGTTCCTCGCCCTTTCTTACTTTTCTAGGAAAGGGGGAAAGGAAGGAACTACATTATTTCATCTGAGCAGGAGAAGAGAAGGTGTTAGGCTTGGGGACAAAGCATGCAGAGGTACCCACTGTTGTAGGTGGGGATTTCCTGTCCCGCTGTCACTCTTAAATAAACACACCAAGGCTTATATTAATTACAGATGCTTGGCCAATAGCTCAGGCATATTACTAACTAGATCTTACATTTTAAGTTAACCCATATTCCTCATTTACACTTTGGTACCTTTAGTAGCATGGCATGTTCATCTTCTACTCCCTCTGTGTCTGGCTGGCAACTCCTCTGACTCTACCCTTCCTCCTTCCAGAGTCCTGTGTATCTGGCTGTCTTTCCTATACTTCCTGCTGGGCAACTGTGGCTTGTCAGCATTTTATTAACCCACAAGACTAATACATAGTCACAGTGTACAGAAGGATTATCCCACAGCACTTCCCCCTTTGTCTAATTAAAAAGAAAGGATTTTAGCACAGTAAAAACTATATGTACAACATAACAGTTATTAAGTCAGTATTATAATTACAATATCCAGTCCATTTGGATTTGACAAAATTAGAGAAAATGCTCTATTATCTATCTTAACTTTGTGGGTCCAAAGTTTTACATTTAATTTACCTTTTATCATAACTAAGGTTAAACTATAACTATCTGGTCTTCAGTTCCATCCAAGACCCCAGAAGGGTAAAATATTACCTAAGGACATGGACATCTGGCCACCTGAATTGTCACCCAAAGTTCCTCTGAACCTTCAGGGCATCCTTCCCTGGCCTATAGGCCTACCTTGTCTGACAGACTTTCTTGTGGAGCAGGGAATTTTGAAGGACTGTCCTGCCTTGTCTTGGCAAAGTTTGACAGGTGCCTACTTTTGCATCTTGCTGGTCCAATTTAGACAATAACTGTCAGTAATTGAGGCAGGGGAGGTTTCCTTGCCCAAATGGCTTCCCTTTGCCATATAAAAAGGAAAATCCGTATGGAGATTCTTCTATGCCCATTGTCTTCTCTGAAGTAGATTGGTGCTGCCAGGAGCAGACATGCCTCACTGTCAACAAAAGCCTTAGGTTATTAAATACCATATTCTTTAGGTCTTTGAAGTGTTTGAAGACCATCTGTCTACCTAAATATATCTGTGTATGACCTTTAAAACATACTTAACATGACTATAAGTTTGACTATTATAGATGACCATTAATCTGTATTTATTATCCTAAATAGTTTGTAAGAATAACTTCCAAGGATTAGAAATTTATATTACATTGTTAAATGAGCTGTATAGGTACAGTACCTTAACAAGAGTAGATATGTGTGTACAGCGTATTCTAACAAAAATAACCTTAAATTTCTATCAATATACAAAAGTATCTTAAAAGTGAGTAGAAACATATATCCAGTATAACGAAAATAACCTCAAATGTATACCAAAATCCATATCAATGTAAAATATGTAAGACTAATAGTTTTTAGAATAAAGTAGATTTAATAATCTACCCTTTTTATCCTATCATTTTTATATCCCTTCTTTTCTTTTCTTTTCTTTTCTTCTCAGAAAGGGATCCTTGAATCTATTCTCTTTTGTTTAGCTTTTTTCCTGACCATTATCCATAAGAACTTGTAACAACTTGCCTTAAATGATAATCCATAACCCATTTTTTGGGGGAATGTGGTTGTATATATTGGAGGCACTGGTAATCTTTAAGGGACCCTGAGAAAATTTATTATGGTTGTTAAATCTTGGCTGTAATATTCTGTGAGACTGGATCATCTCGGTCAGTAGCCTGAAGCCTTCTGGATGCAGAATTCTGAGAAGACTGTAACAGAGACATTTGAAATGCTGAATCACCAGGGCCATCTGTTTTCCTTGCTCTCTGGTGCCCTTGCTCTGAAAATATGTAAACTTTTAAAGATAACATACATATCTTCATTAATACAAGTATAGATTGTGCATTGTGTACAAGTCAGCCAAAGATATTTTTTGTTATATGTTTGATCAGGTAAACTATACATCACATGTCTTGTGGTTCTTTTAATTTAGTTCATTTCTTTATGGTTACAGCCAGGTTTTTCAAGGGGTCGTCCTTGATCAAACCTGATTTTCCTTAACTCAAAATGAATCCATATCCTCTCATTTCATGCATAAATAAATGTATAATATCTTCCCCAAAGTTAACATATCTTTTGACTTATATTTTGAATTCAAGATATTTTTAAAATATATACGTTGGTTGAATCTAACATTTTTTATAATTCAGTGTCTCTTAGCACTCAAAATATTCAAAGATATTGCAATAACATTCAGGATCCAGACTCTCTGTATATTTTCCATCTTTTTGTGGCTTATTATATTTTTTATTACTCTATTTTTGAAGGACATTTTCCTACCCCTTTTCCTTTCTTTCCCAAGCCTATGTATATTTTTAAACACACTGTAACCCATTTGGAAGGTTTTTGTTTTGTTTTTTTTTTTGTCTGAATCTGTCTTTGCTGCATATCTGTAACCTTCTCTGACTGCATGAACAAATATCCCAAACCTGCCATGCAGCATGCTGGTGGAGCTCTCAGACTTGCAGGCAGATGTTGGGAGACTCACAGAATCTCTGCACTGCAGCGGGCATGATTCTGTGAGACTAGGAAGCCATGCTTGTCTCTGTTTCTGTGTGTTTAGAACCTTTTTTTCCTTTAAAATCTTCTCAGGTTTTATGTGGAAATTCTTGCCAAATGTTTGGGTGCCATTTGAAGGCAGAGATCTCCCAATCCTGGAGCCACTTCCAAATTACCACACTGAGGCTTATATTAATTACAAATGCTTGGCCAATAGCTCAGGCTTATTACTAACTAGCTCTTACATTTTAAGTTACACCATATTCTTCTTTTTATTAATTTAATTTTAAATAGCTTGTTTTACATGTCAATCCCAGTTCCCTCTCTCTCCCCCTCCTCCCGTATCCCCCTACCATCCCCCCATCCTCCCACTCTATTGCTGAAAGACCCCAAGCGGGGGACTTTCACGGGAGGGAGACCCGAACCCAAGGAACAACGAGACCACGAGCTTGGATGCAACAGCAAGAGGCTTTATTGATAATACACGGGTACCCGGGGCATCTCAGTCTTGGGAACTGAGAGCCCCGAGCTGGGGACTCAGGGGTTCTTTTATAGCAAAAAGCGCAGTACAAAAGCGAGAAGCCTAGTTACAGGACCCTGATTGGGCAATTTAAATGAGGCTGGGGCTCAGAACGAGGGCAATTAAGGTTTCTCTCGGAACTCAAGTCTCGGCCTTGGCCCTATCTGAGGAACAATAGGTCTCTGTGCTTGCCCAATCTTGCTGGGCTGGCCATCTGGTCACAGCAGACACCCAAAGCCCGTGTCCTTGGGCAGAGCTCCCTTCTGATAGCAAGGACTATTCAGCTGTGGGGGAAACAGAATTTTTCATAAGCCTCAGCTGCCTGCCTGTGTAGACTGGGCCGGGGTCTTTCATTGCCACATAGGGGATATCTACATAGGGGCATCTAGAGTCTGTCATTTCACTCAGGGTAGGGTCCAGGCACTCCCCTAAGAGTCCAGGCTGAGAGAGCATCCCT